TGTTGATCGAATTCAACAAAAATATAATACAAAATGCAAAATTTCCTAGGAATTTTTCCTTCCACATTTTAGAACACTTCGGACTGTTTAAATCATATAATGCAATTAAGATCAATTATATCACCTGGTGTAAGAAATAATTAAAAGTGACAATTTTTGATTTTAGAAAATTTAAATATATATCAAAGGTAAAATTAATACATATCTTTAAGTAAATGAACTTTTGAAATTTTCATTTCAATTTCGATTCTTAATTTCAATCAATTCCTTAGTTTAATTTAGCAATACGAATACAGTAGACACATATATATACACATATATACAGGTTTTTATGGTTATGCATGGTGGTGATAATGATGTAATTAACATACTTCAGACACATTTTTCAAAATATATGGATCGCCTCGATTTTTGCTGTAAATTTTTAAAAATAAAAGATATTTGGGTATGATACTTTTGTTAAAATAGCAATCGATTCCATGTCTATAAACGTTATCATTATCATCATCATCATTATCACTATCATTATTATCATCATTACTCATTGCTTACTTTTCTTTTTTAAAGGATTAAAAAATTATTGCGCAGTCTACTATATTTCTGAATAAACAAAATAAGAATGAAAAAGAATTGAAAATAGAGAGGAAAAAGAGAGGAAAGGTTAAAAAAGAAAACAAACAAAGCATCTTATGATTCCTAAAAACAAACAAAGTAATTATGATTCTTAAAGATAAACAAAACCATCGATATGATTATTCTCCTTTTTTTTTTTGTATCCTAAATTTTGTTTCATTTTTTTGTTTAGGACTTAAAAAGAATTTAAAAAAGTTTTAGGAATTATTTTTAGAAAGAATTCAAATTTCTTCTTCCCATCTCTTTTCATTCTTTCTTATGCTTTTTGTTTATTTGTTTGTATTATTTATTTAAGCCTTTTTCTTTTTCAAGGAAAATTTGAAAATACCAAATTTTGAACATACGCTAAACAATAACAGGAAATAAGCTGAATAGCAAACAATCATTCAATTATCTATATTCATGTTTACCATTCAAATCAATTTCATCTCTATCATCATCATCATCATCATCAATGATAATAGTAACGATGACGATAGTAATGATGATGATAACGATTATCGGTTTAAATCTTCCATTACTATTCTCAAATTATACACAATACTATCAATTATAATTCATAAAATGTTTCCTTTCATTTCTTAGATTGTCAATCGTTTCATTGTTCGTAGCAATAATAGTAATAATTCATACTGTTACAATTCTTTCCAAAATTATGGTAATTCTTTTTTTCTCTCTCTTCAATTACGGTAATTACAGTAATTACTCCTTTCTGTTTCTTTTCTTCTCTCTTTCTCTCTCTTTTTCTCCCTCTCCTTTATTTGTCCTTTTTTTTTCATTTTTGTTTTTACTTTCAGCATGAAAATTTCTCATATAATATTTGGTGAATTGTCGAGAAAACTGATGGTACTAATCTTCTTTTATTCTCTCCCTCTCTCTCTCTCTCTCTCTCCCCTTTACTCTTTTCCATTCTTGGCTCAATCTTTTTTTAGTTAAGCTAATTTTAACATTTTTCATTTAGATGTGTATGTGTGTGTCTGTATGTGTGCGTGTGTGTGTGTGTGTGTGTGCCAAGTCTGTGGATGTATAAATGCTAAATGAATAATATATAGCCTAGTGCAGCCTAGTTCATATTTCTAAAGTTGGTTGAATATTGGAGACTTAGGAACGCCTTTATATTCTTCTATTTCATTTTCTATCTAACTCTCTTTTTCATCCAAAAAGAATATTATCGAAGCCTAGAACATTCGGAAGAAGCAGAAGGAGGCGATGATGATGGTTGTGGTGATGATGATGATGATTGCGGTGGCGGTTGCGGTGGCGGTGACGGTGACGGTGACGGTGACGGTGACGGAGGAAGGGAGGAAGAGAGGTAAGAAGGATAAAAGTCCAGAAAAGTGGGAGGTCTTGAAGTAGAAGCAGAAGATGAAGTAAACCAGCAGGAGGTAGGAGAGTAAAATGAAGTTGTGTCACCCTTTGCTTCCCTCTCCCTCCTCCCACTCCATCCATCCATCCATCCATCCCAAACAGCCGCATGGATAATCATTCCCCTTATTCGGGAGCATCTGCGCAGTCGTTGTCGGTGGGTGCCTTGGTGACTGCTGTCTCCGATCAAGAAATGAATGAATGGGGATTATTGAAGTGGAGAATTGAGAAGACGGGGAAGAAGAAGAAGGTAGGAGAAGAGGGATTGAGGTTTTGGTTGCCACCGATTCCGTCTCCTTTTGTTCCTGTCCTCCTCCTCCTCCCCCTCCTCCTCCTCCTCATCCACCTCCTATACCCCCTTCTCATATCTAATTCTTTTGGATTCATCATACTTGTCTGCTTCTTCTGCTACTGATTGTATTCAAGTAATTATCAAGGATTGCGGTGAAGAGGGAAAAGAGTAGGCGGAGGTGGAGAAGAGGAAGGGGGAGGGAATCAGAAGAGAGAGAGAGAGAGAGAGAGCTTCAGTAGGGAGGACAGTTCCATACTTGCTCTTCTGGTCATTTCCCTCCCCTCATCAAGATCGCGCGCTTGCCTCCATTTATTGATAGTTTCTCTTCATGATGATGTTCCCGTACATGTATGTATTTGGTTATCTATCAAGCTCAAATATCTGTCAGTGTCATTTGTGGCGGTCGTTTCCTTCTTTCACTTTCATCCTTCTTCACATTTATATCCTTTCCTTTTTTTAAAAAAAAAGACAAAACAAAATTTGAAATTTTCCGTTTACTTTCTGAATTACTTCATTCAGTTTTCATCATTTACATTTCCGGTTGTTTTGCGAAATAGCACGAAGGATAGATAGCTTTCAGTAATTTCCTCTTTTTTCCGTAAAGAATAAGTAATAATATAAGCATAATGTGTGTATAGGCTTAGATATTGCAAGCGGAATAGCTGCAGATTAGATTTGAAAATTGATACGATAAAAGAGAGATGTCGAATACGGAAGCTTCAATAAAAGTAGATTGTGGAAAATAGGAAAAAGGAGTGGAATTCAAAATTATGCTAGAAACGGACCAATAAGAAAAGAATCTAGGATACGGTGACCGTAATTGGTCTGTTTGATGATACATTAGCAGTCTTGCTTAGTAATGGATCTAATATCCTCTAGTCCTAGACATTATTACCTATCAAGATTTCTCAGGAAATTCCCGTCTGAATTATTTCGCTTCAGAAATTTCCCATCTGAATTATATGAATTGAAAGAAATTTTGTCAATAAAATTGTGAGGTGTCTGTCTCGGAACAGTGTTGTGGGTGGAAAGGAAAGCAAAGATCAATCTAATCGGAAATAACACATAAAGTGCACAATTTTACTGCCATATTGTAGTTCATCAATTTTTCCCATTAACAGTTAGTCGATGAAAGTATAATCATTCATCGAGAAAATTTGAATAAATTTCATTTAAATAATAAAGGATATTATCATGGTAAATTGTTGATGATAAGAATTTAGTCTTTTAGCCTGTATTTTTTCATCTTTTCTTTGTAGAAATGATCTTAGGAAAAATGATACATTAGGTTATCTTTCCTGAAAGCAAGAAACATTGTAGACAGCTGCCATCATAAATAGAATTCAACCGGAAAAAGTTGAACGTGTAGACATCTCACTTCTTGTTCACTTAATTTTTCATGCAGTAATTTTAGCATATATCTTTGCTTTGAAATATTTTAAAATTTGAGGACTGAATTTTGGATCAATTTTATGTAAATTTAGAGGATAAATTGCTTAAGCCATATGGAAATGATACCCATAATGTATATAATATGGTGATTTTGACCTAGTTATTATGACCCTATAGATCTATTTATTGGACAGGTTGGCAAATTATACATATATATGTATACATATATATGTGTGTGTGTGTCTGTATGTGTATGTGTATGTATGTGGTATACTATCTGAAATAGGCCGACTTTAATCCATATGTCCCGCTGATGAGTATTTATTCATTCCCTCCCTTGCAATAGGTGAGAAATAGAGGGAAGATAGTAGGTCAAGGGTCAACGCATATGCTCTCCTATGTTCCTTCGTTTTCACTTGTATGGACATTTTTCGAAGATGATGGTAGCATAGCACACATCTGCGATGGCTGTGATAGCTTTTAAATTGGTTTGTCTGTTTCTCCTCGAATAATCCTACCGCTCAAAATATTCATTCCTTTAACCTTTCTGATCGTTTACAGAATTAAATCCCTGTAACATGTGTCGCATAATAGATTGTTGATAATGTTTCCATCCGTTCGGTAAACTGATAATGTAATTTCTTGCAAAGGACGTCTCGCTTTCACCGGTGACCTTGGTTTGTTATGCTTAGTACTAAGGCACGCGGTGAATGCCAAACGTTCTATTGCTATACCTTATATACCCTTATGTCGCAGACTACTTTCCCGTTTCCATCTATCTCGAAATCTCTTCCGTAAAACTTGCTTATCCTGAAAGAGGTTTGCTTCACTTTTTATTTTTTCTTTAATGACTTCGACTATATTTGACAAATGACAAATGATATTGTTAAAAGGAAAGATGTTGGATAAAGTTAGCCCCTATCATTGCTTCTGTCTGCTCTTCAGAGGAAATGATTAAGAGAGTCTTGAAGAATGCTGAAAAAAAAAGACAGCGGGAGGAGAGGAGAGGGAAAAGTTACAATTCAGTGCTGAAATCTAAAATCCGCTAAATAGCAAACATCACAACTTTAGACTTATATGGAAAAGTTGTTAATAGCACGAATAATTTAGCCGAGAAAGGAAAAATATTGAGAAAGCAAGTACAATTTAATGAATATAATTATAACTTTGTCTATCAAAAATATAAAAGACAACAGCCTAAATGATATTTAGCTTAACATTCAGGCGGAGAAATTTATGCGATAAACATGCGCACAGATTGAACAAATGTAATTTCGATGTAAATACATTATGCAACATGATCTATATATTTGAAACTTTTCCTTCTATTTTTTTTGCACAAGATAACACAAATTCGCATTTAATTTAACTTACTACACTAATATGATGCAAAATTTTCTGCATATTTTTGATCGATATATTTGAAACGGGAAAAGATGTAGTGTTTTTTTTAATGTATCGAACAAAACTTGACGCTTTATGCATACTATCAAATTTAACTTTTAATTTGGATTTCAATTTTAGAATATTTATTCAAAAATGTACTTGTTGGAAATTTCCCTATTTTCTTTTCCTTTCGAATGATTCAATAATCGGGAAATTCATTCTTTTTTCTTTTCAGAATATATATTTGATATAATAAGCATATCTGAAAACTGAAAACCTTTACTTCAAATGAGTTAAAATTATAAATAGTGTAGGAAAAGAAAAAGGGAACTTTCAAGATTATTAAGAAAATAGGAAATAAAGAAGAAGAAGGAAAATATGAACCTGTATGATTATGTGAGTGTTACATGATTATCATGAAATAATTTATGGGAATAAGAAGATATAATGCAAATATTTATTATTCATTAATTTGTTTGAATTAAATTGCAAATTGAATTAAATGTTGAAAGATATGATATTTTTTTTTTGAAATAGATTTAAATTATTAAATGAATTATTACGTACTATTAGGTATTGCTTTGCGTGAGTTTCGAGAATTTGTGTGCAATTTTAGAATGATTTCATTCTTATTTTTTTACCCTCCTTTGTTTTATGAAGTTTTTTTTTTTTCTTTGAAGTAATTAAGTAATTATTATTTCATTGATACATATCATATATGAATAAAAGTAAAAACATGTTAATATATTGTCTTCAGTTTTTTTCTTCTTTTCAGACAGAAAAGCAAATGTGTCCCGATAATATATT